GTAGTCCCAGCGACTCGGGAGGCTGAGGCAGGAGGATCGCTTGAGCCCAGGAGTTCGAGGCTGCAGTGAGCTAGGCTGACGCCACGGCACTCTAGCCTGGGCAACAGAGCCAGACTCTGCCTCAGGGGGGAAAAATTGCTTACACACAAAATATTTCACATCCAAAGGGAGACTGATGTGAGAAACAAGCCTTGAGGAGCTTGAAGCTCAACTTCACTGCAGGTGCTCCTGGCGGGCCCAGTGGGTCTCTTCACTGGGAGAAGCCACAGAGCAGGAGAAGCGACGGAGAGGCAAAGGGGGCGTGACCACAGCGCCCGCGCCGCGCGTCAGGGCCTCTCCAAGTTCATTGGTCGCCAGGCACCAGCGGTGGGAGGCGGAAGGCAGTGCTGCAGCTCATTGGCGTTTGCCGGAAGGGCGGCAAGGGGAGCTGAAGCGGGGTCTTCCCTCAGACCTCTTGTCTCAGCTGATTGATTCCAACCTGCTGGAGGCGGTGATAACCACGCGCTGGTATCAGGAATATGATCCTCATTTTCCACGCCTCGTATTTCCTCCCACCCTCCCGCTGCAGATCCCCAACACCTTCCCCTCTCCTCCACCTCAGCAGGGTGCCTCCCGCCACCCCCGCCCCCGGCTCCTGATGTCCCATTCCACCCCTAGCCCTCTCGGAACCCCTTTTGGGAGGACCCCTCGCCCCAGCCCCCTGAGCAACTGGCCTCTGGCCACTGGGACGGGACTCACGCGCCCGCTTTTCGTTCAGAGGTGGGGAGGTATCGAAAGCTTGGGCTTCCTGAGGAAGTGAGGCACTCGGAGGTGACGGGACCGGCCGTGTGTGTTGGTGATGGGAGGGGAGAGGGCGTGCTCAGGTACAACTTTTGAAGTGTGGAGAGGAGTATGGAAGATTTTTTTTTTTAATTCAGCATGTTATGGAGGTACAGATGATTAGGTTACGTACGGTGCCCTTACCCTCCCTCCCCCCCGCCAAGTCCGAGCTTCAAGTGTGTCCATTCCCCCGGAGGTGCGCATCGCACTCATTGTCTGTGCATATGCCCGTCTCCTCCTCCCCCTCCCCCTGCCCAGCATCCAATACGTGTTATTCTTATATGTGCACTTAAGAGTATGGAAGATTGTGGGGAGGCTGTGGAGGGAATGCCTGCTTTTGCGTGAAAGCAGAGAGGGCGCCTCGTTCCAGGAGAAAAATTCCTGCCCTCAGGAGTTGCCTGTTGGCTAGATGAGAGCGTGGCAGCCACAGGGGCCTCAACAGATATCTAGCGGCTGAAGGAAGAATCAAGGGAATGAATGGCGGGATGAGTGAAAATGATAACCGAAAGAGGGCCAGGGATCCAGGAGGACAATATGATTTCATGGGGTATGAAAGGGAAATCAGCTTAAAGAGGGAGCGAGAGGATAATTAAACTCAAGGTGCGGTGCAAGAAAAAAATCAGAATGGAATGTGAGGAGAAAACTGAATGTAGGGCATGGAAGAGACGAATAATGGAATTGAGCCGGGGGGGGGGGGCATAAAATCGCGTGTGGGGAGTGAGTGAATGCGGGAGGTTTGGAAGAGATTTGTTGAAGTGGATACCAGGAATAATAGCTGGGTTTGGCAGAGTACAGGGTGACACATGAGAAGGGAGTGTAGCAATTGTTGAAGGGGGCATGGGAGTGCATGTATGCGACTGAAAGTGGGCTCTGTGGTAGAGTGAAGGTAAGCAGGGAGAATGATGAATCGATTGAATGCGTCCGGGCCCCATGATGCTGAGAGTTTCTTGGGAGGAGGCTATGCATGAGTGGGGCTTCCTGGAAGGAGGCGACTTGAGCAAGGAGGTCAGGGTGAAGGTTGGAGAAAGCCACGGGAGAAGAAGGGAGGGGGCGATCTCATTCCAGCAGTGAGCAAGACAGAGAAGAAGAATCCAGCCACCTCAGATAGGGTTTTCCAAGGGCAGAGGAAGTACGTTGGGGGTAGGGGATCATGTGGCCATTCTGACCTCCGCTCCTGACCCTAGAATCATGGAACCCAAAGAAATACCTGCTGTGCCCTGCTGCCCCTCTGACTTCGAATGCACCACAGGGCGTGAGACTGGAGCCCCGTGGGGGATTGAACTTGGCCCCAGAAGAGCTATAGGTCGCTGTGACCGCTGCCACAACCATGGCATCACTACCCAAATCAGGGGCCACAAGCATTTCTGCCTCTTCCAGGCCTGCAAGTGTCACAATTGTGCCCTCTTCTCGTGAGTATGGTGTCTGAGACGGGGAGGGGTCAGGCCTCCTCTAAATGTGGCTAACCTCAGACCTGCAATCCCCCACTTTAGGGAGAACCACAGGATCTTCCCTGCTGTGAGTGCCTTGAAGAGGGAGCGGCGGGCTCGGCTAAAGAGGCAACTGGCTCGAGGACTGCTAAAGAGTATGGCTGTCCCTCTCAGAGCTCACGCCCGTGTGAAGAATTTGGCCGTGGAAGCAGGAGTCCTCAGTGAGTGTCTCTGGCCAGGGAGGGAGCCTGAGTTTGGGCGGAGGAAGCATGAAGCATGAGTAGTTCTCTCACCAGTCCTGTCACCAAAGTTCGGTGTGGCCTGGGGCGAGTTACTCCCTGGACCTTAACTTGCCCAAGTATAAAACATCATCAATGTTATCTACCAAGTGTTTGTCAGGCGGAGAGATCTGGGGGTTCGAAAAGGTCCACGGTGAGGTGAGACCTGAGACTAGGGGTGGGTAAAGAGGGGTGGGGCCTGCGGGAGGGACGGGGAAACGAAGGGCTCAGCAAAGCTGTCCCTGGTCTTTCACAGCTGGGAAGGAGAGCAACGTGCTGCAGCCTGAGGCCCACGTCCACACAACCCCCGGGGAGGTAAGGAGAGTCCGTGGCCAGCGGGGGAGGCTCCCACCCAGTCACTGCCCAGACCCCTTTCACTGTGCCCCAAAGACATGGGTTCCATCTGCGACCCTGCCACCAACTTGCCTTGTGACCTTGGGAAAAGTCACTTCCCCCTGGGCCTCAATTTCCCCAGTTGCAAAATGAAAGGTAAGACTGGCTGGTCCTCAAGGTCTTCAGAGCTCTGACGTTCTGGACTCCTGTCCTCATCCTGGAACATGCCCACACCTCCTCTTTCCATGGCTGGCCTGGAACCTGACTCCCACCTATGTTCTCTGCCTCTGCAGGAGGGCTCCCCAGGGGCTCTGCTGCTCGGCAAGCCCCCAGAACCTTTGTCTGTGCCCCGCACTCCAGCGACCTTGGAGCAGCAACTGATGGTTTCTCTTTCTGGGGAGCCCCACGGGCCCCCTGCCCTGCCCAGCACGTGAGTGGAGTGAGGACCATGGAACTGGCTGTGTCTTGTGTGCCCAACCTTGTGCTTGGTGCCATGGGAGACAGGAGGAGGAGAAGGGGGAGGAGAAGGAGGAGGAAACAGGGAAGGAGAAGGCAGCATCTAAGACTAGCAGGCAAGGATAGGGCTCTCCCAGCTTTGCCATTTCCTATTTGTGAGACTTTGGACGAGTGACTTTACACGTCCGAACCTCCATTTCCTTATGGGTGTACCGGGGACAATATTCTATACCTATAGCACTGGAAAGAGGACTGACGCAGGCCTGCCACATAGTAGGCCTCCAACAAATGAGGGTTGTTACTCCACATGAAGCAGATGGACGGGATAGAAGGTCCTGCTGACAGGTGGAGGCCATGATGGTGAAGGCCACAGAGGCCCAAGGGAAAGTGCAGAGGCCATTAGAGAAAGCTTCCTGGAGATGAGCCAGACTTGTCCTTCAAGACTCATGGGGATTGGGCAATACGGAGGCGAGAACCAGTCCCTGAACAGGGACAGCAGTCACATCTCTCCAGGTGCTTTGCGGATTAAAACACAGACACCTGTGCTTTCCCATCATCTTCACCGTTGCCCTGGGAGGAAAATGCTGGCAGGAATAAGTGTCTCGGGAAAGATATAGAAATAAGAGGTTTGGAAAAGAAAACAGGCCAAGCAGGAGAAGGGACTTGCCCCAGCTACAACGACTAACGGTCCAGCAGGCATTGGGATTTCCACATCCAGCTATTGCAAAATCCTGCCCCTCTCTCTGTCTACTGGTAGTACGTGTCTGTCGGAGGATTTAATCCCCTGGCCTCTCCTCTCCTTGTTTCTAGATGCTCAACTCTGATCCTCCAGCCCTGTGCCACCCTTGACCCTCTTCTACTGCAGCCACAGGTCCTGGGAAAGTAGTGGGGTCCAGAACCCTGGGAGGGGCGGAGCTTAGCGGACGGGAAGAGCAGAAGGCCCTGGGAGGCGGGGGGCTCGAGGGAACTGGGGGCTGAAGGGGCACTTGTCGCATTGGGAGGAGGTATGGTTTCCAGTGCCCATTCTCTCACGCCCTTTCCTTTGCAGGCCCCCAAAGCGTCGGACCAGGCTGCGATTTCTGCCTCCTTAGAGTGGCAGCGGAAGCTGGAGGCCGCCGAGGCTCTGCTGACCCTGAGAGACTCCTCCCAGGCCCCTTCTGACTCCACCTCCGTGAACCAGCCCTGCGTCCCACCAGGTAGCTTGCTCCTTGGAAGGAGAACATGAGGTGGGGATAATTGGGAACAGGGTGGCGGGGGGAGGGTGCCTCGTGGTAAGCAGGTTCTAACTGGGAAATCGGGGTCGGTAGGTTGCACTTCCGTGGGGCCAGGCACCCAAGCTCCTCAGTCCGACTCTTGAAATGGCAGTCGAGGGCTGTTCAGTGAATCTGCAGTTTATTGAGCTTTGCACTGAACAGCAAATGCCCGGTGCCCTGATGCCAAGAAACAAGGAAACTGAGGTCCCAAGAGTGGCAGGGACTTGCCTTAGAGCACGCAGCATCTCAAGTGGAGGAACCAGGTCTCCTGACTCCCAGCCCAGGGCTCTCTACCCAGACCCCTGCAGTCTGCTGCAGTCTGGGGACGACATACAGAGGTGGCAAGGGTCTGGTCTGGAAGGAGATCTGGTTCCTGCCTGCAGGGAGCTTCCGGTCTAAATGTGGAGCCTGGATGCCTTGGCAAGCAAGCTGTGTTTTCTGGCTAAATCTCAATGATGGAGGAGCTGTGAGGAGGGATAAACGCCTGGGGAAGCTCTGAGGGATGGCTAGGCATTCCTCGACCCAAGTGGTGGATGGGGCATGGTGTGTGAGTGAAGAAACACCCCTGGAGGGACTGCTGGGATAGAAGGGGACGAGGCTGGAGAGGCTACAAATCACGGAGGTCTGGCAGGCCAGGCTTAGGAGGCTAGACCAGCAAGTGTGGGTGGTGAGGAGCCAGGGAATGTGTCAGAGCTAGGGAGGAGAATTTTCAGAGACCCTGGGCTTGACAGAAAGAGATGTGGTGGTTGTG